ACCTTCCTAATTTAGTTCCCTGTTACTTACTCTTGCCCTTGCAAGATTCACAACAACCCCGGTACCCACATTCGAACTTTTTTCTTTCCTGGATTCCTTACCAGTCCCTCCCTTACTTCCAGCCGGCAACCCGGAAGGGTTGGTCTGCCCAAGCTTTAGGTGCCTTATGGTCTCCCTTCCCTTGGTACATACTTCCAGAGCACATATCCTTTTCTTCCGATTGGCAACCCAGCGGTTCGGCTAGTGTGTCTCCCACTTAAGGACCTGGTCGCTCAGTTCTCCAGTCTCAGTTTTCAGTTCCAAATTCAGTCTTCCTGTAGCACCGTCAAAGATTACTGCTACTCCCAACTCAGGACTTGCCAAACAGGTTTTCAGTAATTTCAGTTTTCTGAATTTATTGTGCCAAAGCTCCCATTCAAGATGGTGTGACCAAGATTACAGATATCTGGATCCAACTAATAATCTTAATATTAACTAATTCAGATCTAGTTTTTTCAAAATCATCATCCATGGGATTCGAACTCTAGACCTGCTGTTTGGAGGTGCGACAACTCCACCACTTCACTAAGTTGCCACACCCTTTAAAAAGATAATACTTTTAACATTGTTAGTATATATTTAAATTTAAACAAATCTATTGAGAATATTACAAATATATCTATACTTCTCATATTTATATCAACAAGAAATTCACATGACTATATTCAAAATATAATTACCAAGGTACTAATTCAAAAAAAAAAAAAAAAGTAATAATAATTTGTATTATATTAGCATAAGTAATATTTCTATAACAGTATTAAATAGATTTATCAAAACTTTTAAAATATATTTGTACTTATCATATTTGTGTTAAAAATATGCTAGTCGTATTTTTTTAAAAAAAGCAAACCCTAGAGCTAATCCTAAAATAACACTAGATTTAATACTGTTAGTATATAGAACAAATCTATTGAAAATATTACAAGTGTATTCATACTTTCATATTAATATCAACAAGAAATTCATATAACTATATTCAAAGTATAGTACTAATTCAAAAAAAAAAGTAATAATGATTCATATTATATTAATATAAGTAATAAAGATAGCTAAATTATTAAAAATAAAATTAGCATTATTAATATAATAACATCTTTTAAATTAGAGTAATAAGAACTTAAAACATACTTGCCAAAAATTCTTCTTTATACAATATTTGACCTTTTGTATATATCTTTGTGAAATATAGCACTAACTCAGAAAAATATATAATAGCATCTATTTTTCTTAGTGTTAATGCATCTAAACTTTTTTTTTTGCCAAAATGCCATTTAAACGTTCAAATGCAAAAAAAGTATCCAATTCCTATTTTAAGAAAAAAAATTCTCAACCTACTACAGATTACCCAGACCATTATATTTTTAGAGACAAAATTTATACTTCTTTTCCAGTTGATATTGATGAGACTGGTGCTAGATTTTCAGCTTTTATAAAATTGACATCTCTCCAAAGTATTAAAAATAAACAATATTAAGATAAATATATTAAATAGTGTTTAACCAAAGTTAAATACACTTTTAATCCAACTTATAGTATAGAAGATAGAATTGTAAGAATGATAATCTCTTTATATAGTTTTCTAAATTATAACAATAAGTTATCTGAAGCTTCATTTAATAGTTTGGTTGCATACAAAAAAACTAAAGAATATAAGACATATACTAATGCTAAGTATAACTATGTTGCTAGCAAGGCCCAATGGTTTTTCACTCAATCTATACCACTGTCTGTAGCAACTATATGGTTTTTTGGAACTGTGACTAGCTTCATGAAGAATACAAAAAATACAGAAGTCAGAATAATTTTGTTTGAAAGTGATATCCAATATAAAGAAATAGCAGTTAAACTGGTTAATACTATAATAAATGATCAATATATATTTTATAGAAATGGTAAATTAGAGCTTATAAAAAAAGTAACCAGAAATAACCAATAATTCTATTATAAATAGAGAAAGTAAAACTAATAGTAGAGAGGGCCAGATATCTGAAATAATCAATAATTCTATTATAAATAAAGAAAGGATGTTTAAAAATAATAGTAGAGAGGATTAGGTATCTGAAATAATTAAGTTATCAAGTGACAAAGAGGACAGAATTCCTGAAATAATTGAGATATTAAGTGATGAAGAAAACCAGACACCTGAAATAATTGTATTATTAAATATTTTAAAAAAACAAACTTCTAAAATAGCTATAATGAATGGTTTTTAAATATATAGTATAACTTACTGTATTTTGTTTGATCTATTTCTGCATTCATATTGTTTTATCTATAAATAAATATGAGATAATGTTATTATCTTTTTGGTTTGAAAAAGTTTATAAAATGAAAATATAATTTATATAACTTTTTTTTTTTTTAATCTTTACCTACTGTATATTATATTAAGATGAAGTTTAATTTATTATTATCATTACCTTGTACTATATGATAGCCAAATTTAATTATATAATTAGTTAATTTGTATTTAACTAGTTTTGATTGGTCAAAAATATATATAACAATTTTTTTTTATATATTAGGGCACCAAAAAAAAGTCTATTTTCAGAATCATTAAAAATGTATAAGATTTTTTCAAAGTTATTATTTGTTTAATAATAATTAGTGCTTAAAAATAATCATATAAAAGAATGAACTAAATAGCCGATAAATCTATTGGAAATAGCAAAAGAGTGTTTAAAAACAATAGTAGAGAAGACCAAGCACCTAAAATAATTAAATTATCAAGTGCCAAAGACGAAGACAAATTCATTCTGTCTATAATAATTATTTATTCCTGGTTTGTATTTATATTCTATACTATTTCTTCTTGTTTACTTTTCAAATTTCAGATTTGGGCTAATTCAGTAAAAAACAAAAGAGATTTTGTAGATTAATTTTGTTTACTTTGTATATATATCTGGCATTTAGTCACTGTATACAGTACCTGGAGTCTTATTCAAGAACTCCATTTTTAAAATTGAATAGTATCTATGAATACTGTATAAAGAACTGAGTACTATATTTGGAGAATATTATATTAAAAGTAGTAAATCAATGTAGTTATACCTGAGTCTTATTTATAAAACAGGATAATAGAGATGATGAATAATACCCAGATATTAATTATGAGATATTATTTTTTAAGATACTATATATAGTAGCCAATAGTACTAAATATAATGTATAGGACTTTTTTATACTTACTAACAGAAAATAAGATGATTATTTTTTAGTGTTATGTAAATGTATGGAATTTTTGCCAGGAAAGACTAAATCATATGATTTACGTATTGATTCTGATTATCTAAATAAAAATCTATATTAATTTTTTTTCTTTATTTGCTACTTGTTAAAATGTGTATTTATTACCCTATAGTTAGAGATATTAACCTACTATGTTTCAAGTGCTATGTAGCAAGAAAAAATATTTCACCAAATCAGATACTGTTATATTTTTAAAAAGAATTAATTAATGTTTAATATATGATCTTTATATCTAAATTCTTTTTTTTTTAATACAGAATTTGGAAAAAATCTAGGTTTACAAATCACTTTTAACTTTGAGTTTTCATTTGCACTTAAAATTAACTATAAGACATTTTTGCAGAATAGAAAGGACAATGAATAGTATATTACTATTATTTCATATTATATTCTTAAATGATAATATAGTTTTTAATTATATAATTTATTCTATAGATGTGCTTAAAGTTAAGAATAAATATACGTATTCAAATATTATCAAAAATTTACCAAGATGGGTTATTCTAATAAAAACTTCAGTCTTGACCATTGCTATAAAAATAGAATTAAAGCTAATAAGGATAAAAAATAGATAACACTAATGAAATTAGTAGTAGATCTGGTTTAAGGAAAATCTGAATATCAGAATATAATATATAATTAAATTAAATAAATTAATTATGACTTTTTTTTTTATAATTAAGCATCAAACTAAATTAGTATTATGATTATTAAAGCTAGTAATATGAATTGATTAATCGATTATTGATCGAGTTGGCAACTAATCAATTAATCAACTAATCAACTAATTAATTAATCAATTTTTAACTAATTGATTAATTGATAACTATATATTGCTATACTGTATATATATGTACTGACTGCTATGAATATAGTATGAGTATTTATTTAATTTTATCAGATATATTAACTATTTGAAAGCACTTGTTTGAACTAATATATCTCTTAAATTGTAACACAGACAAATTTTACTGCATTTTTATTAAAAAGTTTAATTTTTTTAATAAAATTTTATATATTAATTTTAGCTATATATTTTTTAAATAAAATATTTAATTTTAGATTTGT